CCGCAGGTGTGCGCCGTGCTGGCGGCCGTGACGGAGGTGATCCGCGCGCAGGGCGGGAGCGAGACCGAGACCGAGTACTTCGCTGCGCTGGTGAGTGCCCGGCCGTGCCCCCCGCCCAGCTCGGCCGCACGGAGCTGCTCAGACCGGGCGAGGGGTTTCTGCGAGGAGTGGGTAGCAGGAGGGGGAGGAGGCAGCCTGGTGACCGAGGAGGCCGAAGCGCTTTGTCACCTGGGTCTGACCGGCCAGGGCCGCGCCGCGCCGTGCCGCGTGGGGAGGGGGGAGCAGCCCGCAGCGGTGAGAGACCGGGTTGGGAAAGCTGGACGTGCGCAAGTCCACGGGGCCGGATGGGATGCACCGAGGGTGCTGAGGGAGTTGACTGATGAGACTGCAGAGCCACGGGCCATCATCTTTGAAAACGCATGGTGATCAGGAGAGGTCCCGGATGACTAGAAAAAAGGCAAAGCTAGTGCCCGTATCTAAGAAAAGGAAAAAGGACTACAGACCGGGCAGCCTCACCTCAGTCCCCAGAGAAATCACAGAGCGGATCCTCAGGGCATCCGTTGCTAAGCACTTGGGGGAGAAGAAGGTGATCAGGAAGAGTCGTGGTGGATTCACCGGGGCAAGTCATGCTGGACCAACCTGATGCCTTCTACGAGGGGGTGGCTGGCTCTGTGGATGTGGGCAGCCCGGGGGATGTGGTGTACCTAGATTTTAGCAAGGCTTTTGATACGGTCTGCCACAGTATTGTCGCAGGTGAGCTAAGGAAGTACGGGCTGGATGACTAGACTGCAAGGTGGACAGAAAACTGGCTGGAGCATCGGGCTTGGCAGGTAGTGATCGATGGCTCGATGTCTAGTTGGCAGCCGGTATCCAGTGGAGTGCCCCGGGGTCGGTCCTGCGGCTGATTTTCTTCAATGTCTTCTTCAACGACCTGGAAGATGGGATGCAGTGCACCCTCAGCAAGTCTGCAGATGCCACCAAGCTGGGGATGTAGCAGATACACAGGAGGGCAGGGCTAGGATTCGGAGTGACCTGGACACACTGGAGGACCGGGCCAAAAGAAACCTCATGAGGTTCAGCAAGGACAAGTGCAAAGTGCTGCACTGAGGAGGGAGCGATCCCCTGCACCGGTGCAGGCTGCGGGGGATGGGCCGTCTGGAGAAAAGGGCCTGGGGGGACAGGGGACAAGAAGCTGAACAGGAGTCAGCAGTGTGTCCTTGGTGGTGAGGGACCGGACTGGTGAGGAGAGGCTGAGGGACCTGGGCTGATTTGGTCTGCAGAAGAGAAGACCGAGGGGGATTGAATAGCAGCCTTCACCTCCCTGCAGGGGGGCTGCAAAGAGGATGGAGCTGGGCTGGTCTCAGTGGGGGCAGGTGGCAGGACTCCAGCTGCAGCAAGGGGCTGCAGAGCAATGGGCTCCAGTTGCAGCAAGGGAAGTTGAGGTTAAATATCAGGAAGACTTTTGTCACGAGGAGGGTAGTAAAACACTGGAATGGGTTACCCCGAGAGGTGGTTGGGAGTTTTCACAACCCAGGTACACAAAGCCCTGGCTGGGATGACGGAGTTGGGGCTGGTCCTGCTTGGAGCAGGGGGCTGGACTAGATGTGACCCCCTGAGGTCCCTTCACACCCTCATTTCTATGATTCTAAGTGCCTGGGGTCCCCCGAGCCCATGTCCTGGTAGGTGCCCTGTATCGGTGCTAGGCCAGGGCTGCGGTGCCCCCTCTTGTAGCCCCTCCCATGGACAGGCCTTGCCTGGGGGGCTCTGGGCTGCCCCGTGGGCTTGGAGCTTGGCTGCATCCTGGCAGTGTCCCCTGTTCCCGGGTGCCTCGGTCACAGGGCCCGGCAGGCACTGCTGGGACCAAGGCAGCTGCAGCCGCGGGTGAGGGCTGCTTTCTCCTCCTGGCGCAGGGCGTCAGGGAGCAGCTCCCAGTGCCCCCAACCGCCTTGGCAGGCAGCACCCAGCTGGCTCAGGGTCATTGCAGGGCTCTGGGGGCTTTGGCCAGCGGCAGATCCCCCTGCTCCCGGCTTGGCCTGTCTGGAGGCTGGGCTGTGCCCGGGAGGCCTGGCTCACCCGCGTCCTTTCTCTAGATGACCACGATGGAGGCTGTGGAGTCCGCGGAGTCGCTGGCTGCGGTCGCCTACCTGCTCAACCTGGTGCTGAAGCGGTGAGTGCCTCCATCTGCCCTGCACACGGGCTGTCTCGGCTGCCCAGGGGCAGAGCCGTCCTGGGCCTTGTAGGGCAGTGCTGTGTGCGTGTCCTCAGGGGCAGATGCAGCAGTGGGAGGGTTTTGGGGCTGGGGGAGCAGATGGCTTGGAGCACTGCCCATTTCCATGCCCGCATTCCTCCCCCATGGCCGTGCTGATGCCCCCATCTCCACCACAGGGTCCCGGCACCCGTGCTGAGGAAGAAGTTCTCCGATACCTCAAAAGCCTTCATGAGCATCCTGGCCTCGCAGGCCGGCAGCAGCTCCACCTCTGCCTTGCGCTGGGTGAGTGTCTCCGGGGGCAGTGGGCGCTGCCCTGGGACCCCACAGCCCCTTTCTAGGGCCTGGCTGCCCCAGGGCTCCCTGCTGAGCCAGCAAAGCGCTGGGTGCTGTGGGCCCTTGTGTCCTGAGCCTGCAGGGAGGGGTGTCAGCCCCCCAGGCGCTGCTAGCACAAGGTGCAGACTGTTGGCACTGGGGGACGCCAGGTGCTGACCGTGTTGGTGCCCTGGCAGATGCCTGGTGGGGTGGGAGGGTGCCCGTGTAGGTGGCTGGGGTGAGGGTCAGGGGTGCTGCCTGCTGGCTCCATGGGCCCCATGCCAGCGCCCTTCTGCGTGTCCCCAACAGGTCGTCTCCTGCCTGGCCACGCTGCTGCGGAAGCAGGACCTGGCGGCCTGGAGCTACCCCGTCACGCTGCAGGTCTACCACGGCCTGCTCAGCTTCACGGTCCACGCCAAGCCCAAGGTGAGTCATTGGTGCCCCACAGCCCCTCCTGGAGCCTCCCTGCTGGGTCTGGTGCCTGTGATGCCCTGGGAGCGCTAAGCCTGGGCTCCCTAGCACCGGTGCCTGGCTTCAGGCGGGCTCCTCACCTGCTCCCCCCACAGGTGCGGAAGGCAGCGCAGCATGGCATCTGCTCCGTGCTCAAGGGCAGCGAGTGCCTGTTTGGGGATGCAGCCCCCGAGCACCACCCGGCTGCACGCTCCACGGCCAAGTTCTGCGTGCAGGAGATTGAGAAGGCCGGAGGTGCGGGGCTCTGGGAGGTGGGGAGGGGTTTATGGGGGCTGGGGAGGGGTAACCGGTTGGATCATGGGCCTGTGTGGGGGGGCAAAGGGTGGGGGTAACGGGGTTGGTGGAGACAACAGGGCTGTGGGGGGCGCGTGGCTCCAGGGCAGGGGCTCAGGGGAGTTGGGCCGGGGCCAGGAGCCTGCAGCAGGACATGTGGCTGGGAGGCATTTGGGGCTGCTGAGGGCAGTGGCCAGTCTGAGGCTGGAAGCTGAGCCCAGCCCAGCATCTGTGCTGAGCTCTGCGGGGAAGGAGGGGCAGGCCCAGCTCTGGGCTGCAGCCCCAGGGCTGCTGCTCGGGGCCATGCACGTTCAGCACCTGCTCAACCCCCCAGGCACCAAGGAGGCCACGACCACCCTGCACGTGCTGACGCTGCTGCGTGACCTGCTGCCCTGCCTGCCCGCGGCCGCCACAAAGACCTGCTGCGAGACCCTGCTCCGCGTCATGACCCTCGGCCACGTGGTGAGGCCCTGCCTGTGGTGGGGGGCAGATACTGGCTATTACCAGCACACCGCTCCCAAGCTCGTGCCCTGAGAGCAGGGCCCTGGCCCCCCTCTCGTCCCCGCGCTCTGTGGCCGAGCCCAGGTCGGGGCTGGCAGCGGGCTGCAATGTGCAAGGAGCCCCAGGCACCACCTGGGACATAGCTGGACCCCCCCATCTCCAGCCACAGGGCTCTGCTGGGGGTCAGCCCAGTGCTGGGGTGCGAGTGGGGGGGACATGCACATGGCTTAGGAGCCTGCGGGCCCTGCCTGGTGCCGACACCTCCCTGCACCCCTGATGCCATGTCTCTTGCAGCTGGTGACGGCGTGCGCCATGCAGGCCTTCCACGGCCTCTTCAGCGCCCAGCCCAGCCCTGCCTGCCTCCCTGCTGAGCTCAACGCCCAGATCATCACGGTGAGCGTGGTGGGGAGGGGGTTGCTGGAGCTGGGGGACCAGGGGAGAGGGGCCGTGGCTAGGCCCTGCTCACCCCCTCTGCCCTGCCCGCAGGCGCTGTACGACTACGTGCCCAGCGAGAGCGACCTGCAGCCCATGCTGGCTTGGCTGGCCGTCATGGAGAGGGCCCACATCAACCTGGTTGGGTGCGATCTCTTGACCTGCTGGGCTGGGGGCTGGAGGCAGGGGTCCCTCTACTCGCTCTCTGCCTGGGAGCCTAGCACTGGCCCGGCTGGAGGCTCTGGGGTCTCAGCTTGGCCTGGTGCAGCAGCTCTTGCTGTTCTGGTCCAGTCCAGCCTGGAAGCAGCCAGGGGAGGGGATGGCTGGTGCCAGGCTGATGGGAGCGGCTGCGTTGGGGGGCAGGGGGTGTGCAGGGGCTCTGCTAGCCCCACCTGTGTTGCAGGCTGCAGAAGGAGCTGTGCTGGGGGCACCTGCCCCGGCTCTTCGCGGCTGCCATGACCTGCCTCCTGTCGCCACACCCCCAGGTGCTGTCAGCCACTGCACAGACCCTCAAGGTACCTGCCCCAGGATATGGGGGTCGTGGGCATGTCTGGGAGCCCAGGGCCAGGCTAGGGCATCTGCCCCCAGGGCTCTGGGCTGGTGGTGCATTGCACACTGAGGCCTCCAAGCTGTTCCTTCCTTCATGGAGGGCTGGGAGCCGAGCAGGATGGGGCAGTGGATCAGGGCAGCCCCGGGGCGAGGGAGCAGGCCTGGGAGGGTGGCGGCGGTGGGGCTGTCTCGAGGGGGAGGGCCTTTAGGGGCAGGCTCGGGGTGTGAGGGAGGTAGGGACCAGAGTGGGGTAGGGACAGTCCCATGGGTCCCATCTGACTGGCTTCCTCTGGCTCCTGCAGGTGCTGCTGAGTGAGTGCGTGGCCCCCCACGTGACCGACTTGGGGCCTGTTTCCACCTCCGCCTCTGGCCCCGCCGCCTCTCTCTGCAAGATGTTCAGGTACAGGGAGAGGGCTAGGGCTGGGGCCGTCTCGGGGGGGACCCTCGGGTGCTCTGCACCCACCCGTGTTCTTCACATCCAAGCTCTCACAGCTGGAACAAGCCCCCCTCTGTTCTGCTGGTGCTTCTGACATCCTCCCCCCTGCTCCTTGCCCTGCTGGGGGCTGCGCTGAGCCCCCTGCCTCCTGTCCATGCAGGGCGGTGGAGGAGGGGCTGACGTACCGGTTCCACGCGGCATGGGCACCCGTGCTGCAGGTGCTGCGGGCCTTCTTCGAGGCATGTGGGAAGCAAGGACACCCCGTCATGAGGAAGGTGAGGGGCGGGGGCAGGGAGACTGTCCCTGTTAAGAATCATAAGACACGAGAGTTGAAGGGACCTCGGGAGGTCACATCTAGTCCAACCCTCCGCTCGGAGCAGGACCAGCCCCAGCTACAGCATCCCAGACAAGGCTTTGCCTAGTTGGGTCTTAAACGCCTCCAAAGATGGAGAGTCCCCCACTTCTGTGTGTAACCTGTTCCAGTGCTTCACCACCCTCCTTGTGACAAAAATCTTTCTAGTATCCACCCTCAACTTCCCTTGCTGCAGCTGGAGCCCATTGCTCCTTGTCCTGCCATCTGCCTTCACTGAGAAGAGACCAGCTCCATCCTCTTTGCAGCCCCCCTGCAGGGAGGTGAAGGCTGCTATTCAATCCCCCTCACTCTTCTCTTCTGCAGACTCAATCAGCCCAGTTCCCTCAGCCTCTCCTCACCAGTCCTGTCCCCCAGCCCCTGAACCATTTTCACTGCCCTCCGCTGGACTCTCTCCAACGTGTCCACATCCTTTCTGTAGTGGGGGCCACAGCTGGACACAGGACTCCAGATGTGTCCTCCCCAGTGCTGAATAGAGGGGAAGAATCACTGCCCTCCATCTGCTGGCACCGCTCCTACCCATGCAGCCCGGGATGCTGGTCGCCTTCGTGGCAATAAGGGCACACTGCTGGCTTATTACCAGATTTAGTTGTTATAAGACTTTAGGCCGTGGCACTGAAGTCACAGATGCTAGAGTAAGAACAGTTGGTCTGTTAAAAGTAGTCACATCTACTCAGAAAACCTTGCCTGCCTGAGTGAGAATAAGGCAGACAAGGTTCCTTGGGTGAATCTGATATCTTTTATTAGACCAACCCAAATAGTTGGATAATAGTTATTAAGCAAGCTTTCGAGTTCAAAAACCCTTTGTCAGGCTAAGGAGGTTTCAGCAGTCGGTGCGTGCTCTTCCTGGATGGGATGACAAGTGAAGAAGCCAGGGGCTGGGCTGGGGAGTCACTTGCCAGGCAGATTATAATGTGTCAGAAACCCAGCGTCTATGTTTAGTCCCTGATCTCTAGTATACAGGAGGTTGATGAAGTGGAGTTCATAGGCTCGTCTCTGGGAGGTGTTGTGTGAGTTTCCCTTGAGGATCAGGACTGAGAGATTGGAGAGAGAGTGGTTTTCTTGTGAGAAATGTGCCCCCACCGGTCATTGGGTATTCCTGTCTTTGATGGATTTCCGGTGTGCATTCATTCTGGTGCGCAGTTGTTGTCTGGTCTCTCCTACATATCTTCCATCAGGGCATTTGGTGCATGGGATGAGGTATACTACATTCCTGGAGGTGCAGCTGTAAGATCCTGGGATGCTGATGGCTCTGTTGTGGGGTGTAGTAATCGTGGGGGTGGTGGAGATGTGTTGGCAGGTTTTGCATTTCTTGTCCTGGCACGGTCTGGATCCTTTTGGTGTGTTCTGGGCTTGAGGAAGCTTGCTTCTGGTGATGAGGTTGGCGAGGTTCGGTGCTTGTTTGAAGGCTAGGATGGGTGGCTCTGGGAAGATCTCTTTAAGAATAGGGTCTCTGTCTAGTATGGGTGGCAATTGTTTGAGGATTTTCCGTACAGGTTCAAGGGAGGGGTGAGTAAGAACAAGTCATTCTCTGAAGACAGCATTTATTGATTTTTTTTTTTTTTTTTTTTTTTTCAAAAAAAAATTCTTTAATTGCAAGCTTTCGGGCACAAACACCTTTCATCAGGCATTGAAGAAAAGATTGTAAAAGTTCTCCAAGGTAGAAATGAAAGTTCATATTTCCTAGCTTTTCACAGAGGAGTCAATAGGTGGAAAACTCCTCTGGTCAGACCGTTCTTAGCTGGCAAGGAGTCTCTCACCACACCTCTTGTGAGGTTCTGTGACGATGCAAGTTACTTTGAAAGAAAGGTAGGAACAGGATCTCAGGTTTCAGGTGGTCAGAGTTGCTTCTTCCTTGGGAAATCATGAAGATTTCATTTAAAAAATGTAGTTCCCCGCTTTCTTTGGTCCCCCAGCCCAAGCAGTCTGGGACCCTCCCCTGCTCCCTTAGCTCAGTCTGCAACATACCCATGTGATGACTGTGCCAGGCCTTTTGCCAACGGGTTCATATTCAGCTTATTGTCCATGGCATCCCCAGGCCCTTTTCTGCAGAGCTGCCGCGTGGCCATTCAGTCCCCAGCCTGCACCGGTGCGTGGGATTGCTTCTGGGCCTCACAGGTGCCTTGCATAGAGCACAGCAGTGATGGTGCTCTCTGCACAGGGCCCTGTGCTCACACACGGGCCTGGGCGGTCCAAAGCTGCCCTGAGGGCTCCCAGGGTGGGAATCCAGCGGCTGTCACAGGCTGGGGGCTGCGTCTGGCAGCAGAGGGCACCAGGCTGGGCTGCGGTCTCTGCCACGCGTTGGCCACATCCACGTGCAGACAAGAGAGGACTGGAGAGTTGTTGGGGGGGGCCCCATGACCATGCCTTCACACTTCCCCCCCCAGTGCCTGCAGTCCCTGTGCGACCTGCGCCTGTCCCCGCACTTCCCCTACACCACTGAGCTGGATGAGACGGTGGGGGCCGCTGTGGGCACCATGGGCCCCGAGGTGGTGCTGGAGGCTGTGCCCCTGGGCATTGATGGCCGGGAGTGAGTATGGCCGCGCCGTGGGGGCTGGGCCTGGTGGGAGCTCTGCCAGGAAGGGGCAGTAGGAGGGTGTGGGGGGAGGCCGAGGCTCCTGGCTCGGGTGGATGAAGCCCTTTCCCCCAGGCAGCTGTGGCCAAGAAGAGCCTCGGGGTGGGAGGGGAAGCAGCTCCTGCCCACAGTGGCGAGGGGCTGGCACCTGCGGGGCCTCGTGGCGCCAGCCCTGGCTCGCCTGGGCCCAGCCCGGCTGACCTGCGCCCTCCTGCCAGGGAGATGCTGGACTTCCCGCGCAGCTGGCTCCTGCCCGTGCTCCGGGACCACATCCGCGGCGCCCGGCTCGGCTTCTTCACCAGCCACTTCCTGCCCCTGGCAGCCGCTCTGAAGGGCAGAGGTAAGGGGTGGGCGGGGGGAGAGCTCCGGGGTCCCCTGCGTCTGTGGCTGTGCAGGGGTCCCTGCCCCTGTGTGAAGCAGGCAGCGCCAGGCAGTGAGGCCGGTGCCATTGGGGTAGGGGGGGCAGAGGGGTCCTGCTGGCCCTGCCCCCCACAGGCTGAGCATGCTTGGCCCCTGTGTCCAGCTTGTCCAGCCAGTGCTGCCCAGTCTGTCTCCCCAGTCCAGGCCTTTGCTGTCTAGGGCCCAGCTGCCTCCCTCCATGCCACAGCTCTGCCTGCTGCCCCCCTGGGGGGTCCGCTCCCACCAGGCTCACAGCTCGTTCTCTCCACTGCAGCTGTGGAGCTGGCTCAGGACGGGAAGACGCTGGAGTCCAAGATCTATGACACGCTGCAGGGGCAGGTGAGCTGTGGCTCCCTGGTGAGGCCAACAGGTGCCCCAGGGTCCCGGGCGCAGGGCCTGTGCCAGGCTCGGGCACAGCTGCTGCGGCCCTGGTGCAGGTAGCCGTGGAGGGGGGGATGTGGGGGTGGGTGCCAGGGTCCGAACGTGAGACCCGTCGCGGCTCAGTCCAGCCCGGTGTCCTGCCTTTCACCACAGTGGAGTCGGATCACCGGGTGCTGCAGGGGAGGATGGGCCGGGCCAGGCTCGTCTCGTTGTAGCTTCCAGCACTGGGAGGTTGGGGGCTCTCTGCACAGCCTCCCACCACTGTTTGCCGTGTCTAATACCTGCTGGTAGGACTTTATTTCGTAAAGTCCCAGGGCCGTGAGGCTGGTGGGCACCTGTGGGTGTCACAGAGTCACAGACAGTGAGGGTGGAAGGGAGCTCAGGAGGTCACATCTGGTCGGACCCCTGCTCCAAGCAGGACCAGCCCCAACTACAGCATCCCAGGCAAGGCTTTGTCTAGCCAGGTCTTAAACAGCTCTGAGGATGGAGACTGCACCACTTATCTGGGGAGCCTGGTCCAGTGCTTCACCACCCTCCTCCTGAGTGGGTATTGGGAAAAACTCAACCTCAACTTCCCTTGCTGCAGCTGGAGCCCATTGCTCCTTGTCCTGTCGTCTGCCCCCACTGAGACCAGTCCAGCTCCGTCCTCTTTGCAGCCCCCCTGCAGGGAGGTGAAGGCTGCTATTAAGTCCCCCTCAGTCTCCATTTTTCTTCTCATCACATCTTGTCCAGCCCTGTCCTTAGGCAGGATCGGTCCTGTCCAAACCAGCCCAAACAAACCCCTTAGACCTGATGGGCCCTTTACCCTGCCTGGCTCCAGCACCCAGAGTTCGGCCCCTTCTCCAGGGTCAGTCTCTGTTCACCTTCCAGGTGTGGTCGCTGCTGCCTGGGTTCTGCCGGTGGCCCACGGACGTGGTGAGCTCCTTCAAGGGGCTGGCGCGCACCCTGGGCACGGCCCTCAGCGAGCGCCCCGACCTGCGCCTCCCCGTGTGCCAGGCCCTGCGCACTCTCATCACCAAGGGCTGCCAGACGGGTGAGTAAGGGGTGGGTGGTTCAGGCCAACATGGCCGGGGACCTGGTGTCATGCCCCAGGGCAGGGGAAGCTGGGGGTGGTGAGGCTGAGACAGGGCTTAGCTGCCAGGCCCATTGTGTAATGCTGAGTCCTCCCAGTCCTACCCCTGGGCAGGCCCCCTGCCTCAAAGGGCAGGCCTGGCACGCACAGGGGTCACCCTGCAAGCCCTGGAGGGGGAACACGGGCAGGTGCCAAGGCCCTGGGCCCAGCACAGACCCTCACGGCCCCACCGGTCTCTGCCTCCCAGATGCTGAGCGGACCGAGGTCGGCCGCTTCGCCAAGAACTTCCTGCCCATCCTGTTCAACGTGTACAGCCAGCCCGGCGACGACGGGCGCAACTCGGCACATCGGCGTGCCGTGCTGGACACTGTCCGCGCCTACCTCACTGTCACCGAGCAGCAGGTGAGGGGCAGCGCGGGGCGGCCTGTCAGTGCCTTTGTGGGTAGAGAGGGAAGGACCTGGTGCCACAGGATCCGCACAGCCCTGGGCTGGGATTGCTGTGGGAGCCGGGCAGAGCCATGAGGAGGGGGGTGTGGATGCAACACGGCCTGAAGGTGCTGGAGCAAGAGACCCAAAGGGACTGAGCTAAGACCCAGGAGCCCCTCCATGCTCGAGCCCAGAGGGGCCGGACCAGGTGCAGCAGGGGGCTCGGGGCATCCGGAAGAGCTGCTACTGGAGCTGACCAGTTACTGGCCCTGACCTGGCCCTTGTTCTGCAGATGGTGTGCGGGTTCCTGCAGAAAGCCAGCGAGAAGCTGAGCAGCCCCGACAGCTCCGAGTTCACCAGGTAATGCCTGCTCCCTCCCAGTGAGCCCCAGGTGCTGCCTCCCTGGGGGATCCGGCACCCCCACGAGGGCTGCGCTCACCACTGCCTACCTAGGCAGGTGGCTGCCACTGCCTAGAGCCCCCAGGTCCTGCCCCCCTCCCCAAGCTGGCTCCAGGCACCCCCTATTCCCCATGGCTGTTCACTGGAGGGAATGGAGCTGGGGAGCAGTGCCCAGGCCAGCCCCGGACTCGCCCCTTCCCCGCGCAGGCTGTCCATCCTGGACCTGATCGTGGCCATGGCACCCTATGCCGACGAGCCGACTCTGGACGCCCTGTACCACACCATCCAGCCCTCCCTGCAGGTGAGTCATGGGGCGAGAGATTCCACCCTGGGGTGGCTCGGGAAGAGAGGGGCTGGGGCGCTCCAGGGTCGGGGCAGGAGGCCCTGGGCTGGACAGGTTTGTGTCTCCAGGGTCTCCACCACAGGTCGGCTGGGGTGGAGGCAGGATCCCTGGGTGCTCGGAGCTGCTGCTTCCTGGAGGGAAGGTGCGGGGCACGCACGGCCCATGCGGCCCTCCCCAGCTCAGCAGGGGCTGGGACCTCTCCGTGTGCTGGGGGAGGGACGGGGCGGACACGAGGCCCCTAACCAAGCCCATCCGGGCGCTGCCTCTGCAGACCAAGGAGCACGGGGTGCAGAAGAAGGCGTACCGGGTGCTGGAGGAGGTGTGCGCAGCACCCCATGGCCCCTGCCAGGCCTTCGTCCGCAGCAACCTGGGGGAGCTGAAGACGGTCCTGCTGGACTCCCTCAAGAGCGCTGCATCCCCCGCCAAGAGGGTACAAGGCTGGGTGGGGCGCAGGGGAGGCACGTGCTGGGTGGCCAGGGTCCCTGGGGCGTGACCTTGGGGGCACATAGGGCACGTGGCTGGGTGTGGGGAGCAGGGCCTGGGCTTGACATCATGGCACTGTCCCTATCTCCATCTCCATCCCCAGCCACGGCTCAAGTGCCTGTTCCACATTGTGAAGCAGCTGACAGCCGAGGACGAAGCCTTCATCACGGCTCTGGTCCCAGAGGTGAGGGGGAGCAGGGCTGAGGAGCAGTTCTTGGATCAGGTTCTGGCTGGGGCTGGTCGAGTCTCTGGTGCTGGAGCCCGATGCCTAGTCTGGCTGTGGCTCCTCCGTGGGGAGCTGCCCCCAGCTGTGGCGGAGGCCTGGCCCAGCCTGGGGGGCAAAGGGTGGATCTGTGCTGGGCGCTGAGGGTGTCGGTCTCCCAGGTGATCCTGTGCACCAAGGAAGTGTCGGTGGGCGCCCGCAAGAACGCCTTTGCACTGCTAGTGGAGATGGGCGAAGCCTTCCTGCGCTTCGGTCCTGCCCCGCAAGGTGAGACCCACCCCTCCTGGCCTGCGCAGTGCCCCCCCAGCACCCTGAAGCCCCCCCGTGTTGGGCCACGGACTCTCTACAGTCCCTGGTGCTGAGTTCCCCCCACATGCCCTCCTGGGGTGGGGGGGGCCAAGCCCCTCGCTGACCTGGCTGCCACCCCACAGAGGCCATGCAGCGGTTCCTGCTCCTCGCCTACGCGGGGCTCACGGGCTCCGTCGCCATGATCAGCTGCACGCTGCTGGCGCTCACCCGCCTCCTCTTCGAGTTCAAAGGTAAGGCTGGGGTGTGGGGGGGCTGTACACTGCAGGGCAGCTGGCCGTGGGCATGGGACCCTCGGGTTGGAGAGGCCTGGGGCTGAGCCCCTTGAGGATGCAGAAAGGGCTCTGCAGCCCCATGGTGCTGTGGTGGGGGGAGCAGGGAGGTTTGGGGGTGCAATGTGGGCCCATCTGGGGGATCTCTTGCTGGGGAGAGCTTGTCCTGGCCCCTGTTGGGGCCAGAGCCCCTCTGCCAGCGTGGTCCCCAGGGTGGGCGCAGAGCTGAGCCATGCCTGCCCCACAGAGCACCTGGGCCCGGGTGAGACGGGTCAGCTGCTGCAGAGCGTCTGCCTGCTCCTGGGCTCCCGCACCCGCGACGTGGTCAAGGCCGCGCTCGGCTTCCTCAAAGCCGCGCTGCTGCTCGTGGACGTCAAGCTGCTGACCACACATGTCCCCACCATAGTGAGTCCACCTGGGGGGGTGCATGTCCTTCCTGCCACCCCAGCCCTGGCCAAAGGGGCTCCCACGGTGGGGGACAGGGCTCCCTTCCCAGCCCAGCAGCTGAGCTGCCCCAGCTTGGTGCACAACCTACCTGGGGGGCAGCAGTGGGGCCGGGTCTCAGGGAAGAGTCCTGGGTGGGGGCGCTGGGGATCAGCTCTGTCTGGGGAGGGAGGGGGCCTGTGGTCAGGGTGGTGGCAGGGCTGGAGAGGAAGGCAGGGAGGGATGGGATGGGATGGGATGGGATGGCAGATGCTGTGGGGCAGGGTTAATGGGGGCCAGGGGCTGTGGGGGGCAGGCCTGATGACCCCTGTCCCGGCAGCTGGAGGCCGTGGGGGCCCTGTCGGACGACATGAGGCGTCACTTCCGCACGAAGCTGAAGAACCTCTTCACCAAGTTCATCCGCAAGTTCGGGTCAGTTGTGGAGGGGGTACAGGGGGCGCAGCTCCAGCTCGGGCCTTTTGTGACGCTCAGGGCTGCAGGGTAGGAGCTGCATCCGGCCTGTCGCTGCGGCGGGGGGGGGGGGCGGGG